ACGCGGAATTGCGCGAGAAAATTCGATCTAACGAATTTTTTTTTTTTTTGATGCATTATTTATGATCACCAGTGTATTTTTTATAGTAATTCACAAAGAAATTACGCCAATTCTAATGCCAAGTAACAATTTTTAATAGAAACTCACGATTTAAATCATGATCACTTTAATATGAATCAACTCAACTTTAATTAAATCAAAATCACAGAAATTTCAAACAACTCTATATTAACCACATACCGAAAAAGCAAGTTTTGTACCAAACTTTTATAGCAGCTTACATTAGAAATTATGATAACTCAAAAATACTGATTAACCTCAAGTACATAGGAATCACAATAATTTCAATAAACCTAATTTAGCATTGATTACATACTGTGGTTACTGAAAAAGCGTGTAAGTTTTGTAACAAAAATTTTCAATGCTAATCAATTCAGCCCTGACTACATGTTATATGTCGTTGGAATGGTTATTAAGCTTTGTAAAAAAGTTGTTTTTTTTACAATAATCACGATAATCCGAGCGCAAATAATCTTTCATTCGATGGACAAAAGAATAGTAAAGTTTTAATTGAATGTTTACAGTAGCCCACGACCCTATAAAAATTTGTTGAAAAGTGTATCTTGACTTTCTCCAGATTATCATTCCATTATCATTTCGGAAAATGCTCATTTTTTGGGACAAACCATATACAAATTCCTGATCATTTCTATAGAATCCCGGTAAATTTCGGGTAGAAATCAAATCCGGGTAAAATTCGGCTTCATCTTTTGTACTTAATTATAATTAAAAGCTTAATTTTATCCAGATTTGATTTTTATCCGGAATTTATCAAATTTTATAAAAATGATCAGAAATTCGTATATGGTTTGTTCCGAAAAATGGACATTTTCCGAAACGATAATGAAACGATAGTCTGGAGAAAGTCAGGATACGTTTTTCGAAAATTTTCATAGGTTGATAGAAATCACAAATAATTCAATACATACTAACTCAAACTTAACTATATCTCAATAATTCCAGTACAAACCAACTCGACCAAACTATAGTCACCGGAATATCGAGTAATTTTGAAGACAGAATTTATGGTAATTCCAATACAAAATAACTTTAATCATCTATAATGGTCGCTGGATTGGTAAGCCCTGCAATAGAATTTTTACAGTATCCAATCATAGAAATCATGAAATTTCCAATACAAACCAACTCAACCTAACTACACATTATTGTTACTAAAATAACAAATGAGTTTTATAGCAAAATTTTTCCAGTAACTACAAAAATCATAATAATGTAAACTCAGCTATAACCACATATCGCGACCACTTGAGTAAAAAGTTTAGCAACAGAACATTTTACAATGATTAATAATAGTAATTCTGACAATTTCAATACAAACAAACTCAATCTCAACCAGTGTGTATGTTGTATTAATAGTAATTTCTGTAGCAACTTTTTTTTTCAGTAAATAAAAATTACAATAATTCTAATAGATCCTAACCACATATCGTGTGTACTGCGATTATTGTTAAACTCTGTATAGATGCGCCACCTATCGCACTACTACACATTAATATTAATATTACTGTATTCAAAATTTTCATCAAGGAGTTACGTCATTAGATGATTTGCACCATATAATTGGTAAAATTTCTGTTTTGTTACACTAAAGTACAAACATGCAAGCAGTCATAAACGAAATTTACTCTTTTGATACAGCAACATAAATGAAATGATCAAAAAATAATTAATGATGTAACTTTCGTATCACTTGAGTAAGCATTAAATATTTCCTCCGTTACTCTCTGCACAATTAAAGTAACTATTTTATTTAGAATGAATTTTTTTCCTTCTTTAAAAAAAAAGGACCCTGAACAACTTCGTAGCTTGTTACAATTACCAACATGTATTGGTGTTAAGAAAGATTAGAAAAAAGCTTTTGAATATTATATGAGAGCAGCTGATTTAGGAAATTCCGGTGTGATGAATGATGTTGGCATTTGTTATCATCGTGGAATTGGTGTAGAAATAAATCATCAGAAATCATTTCAATATTATAAAAAATCTGCTGATTTGGTCAATGCTCATGGAATATGTAGTGTCGGTTATTGTTATGATAATGGAATCGGTGTTGATCAATATTTTAATAAAGCATTTGAGTACTATAAAAAAGCTGCTAATGTGGGTAGTAAAGGAGGAATGAATAATCTTGCTCAATATTATCGAAATGGTATCGGTGCAAAAAAAACATTCAGAGTGCAAATTATTGGTTTGCAAAGTATAGAAGTTTTTTGAAAACTAATAAATCACCCAATCATATTAATCCTGAACTTAAGATAATATTGTAGATGATGAGAGATTTAAATTATCTTGGATTGATTATAGCGAATTCAAAAATATACAGGAAAAGGTAAAAGGAGGATTTACAACTGTATATTACGCACGTTGGAATGATAGAATTAATAATTCATACAAAATGTTGCACTTAAGGTGATTCATAATTCAAACGAAAATGTGATCAATCCATCCAGGAATTAAAAAATTACTGTGAAATTGGTTAAATTATTGTTTTGGATTATGCATCAACAGGTTCATTACGACAAAATCTTGCACAAGTATCACAATTAGAATGGAAAAATAAATTGAGTCTCTTGCACAGTATAGCTTTGGATTTCAAGTCAATTCATTTGCAAGAACTCGTTCATAGAGATTTACATAGTGGAAACATTTTGCAAGATTTCGCTTTGCATAATGCATATATTACAGATCTTTGGACTTTGTAGAAAAGAAAAGGAAGGAAAAATTTGTGGAGTTCTGCCATACAGCGGCTGAGATTTTGACGGGTCAATCGTACACACAAGCGGCAGATATTTACAGTCTTGAAGTTTCATGACCTAAATTTCGACCGGACAAAGAGCGTTTGATAGAATTCCATTTGATGATTATCTTGTATCAAGTATAACTGGTGGGTCAAGACCTAAATGTTTAGGACCTGATTGTTATATTAAATTAGCTATGAAATGTATGGATAAACGACCTACTGCAACAGAAATAATTGAAATAACCACTCGTTGGTTAGATGAAATAGATCAAGATGATGATAATGAAATTAAAAATCAAATTTTAGAAACTGATAAGATTAAACTGAACCAACTGAACAAATACATCCACAAGATATATATACCTGTAAGCTATATGTAATGTAAAAAATTTCCGAATATGGTAGTCAACCTGTTAGTGCATTAAAAATAACGAGCAATTTCTCAAATTTAAAATTAAATTAAATTATATAAAGTATGTGTTTATTTTATTTATGCTTTTTATTAATTTATTAAATATTCTTATTGATTATCGAATGTTAATACAATCATTCTCCCATATTATTACATCATTTTTTTAAAAAAAAACTTTATAAAGAGTTGTGTGTATTTATAGAAATTATTTCTTATATGATATAATTAGAGGATAAATATATGAAGGTTAACTTTACGAGATTTCTACTTTCCACGAGTTACTTGACTTAGCAAGTGTGTAATTTAATATACCAGCTCGCTTTCTCACAATCTAAAACACCCTTCTATACGTAAACTTTATTTATTTTATTTGTCTCATCTAGATTTTTAAAAAATGCTCTTTATTGATTTTGATAAATGCTTAGTTCCACAAAATTTCGTCTAATAATTTACTTTACAAATATTTATTTTTATATATCTTTAAATTATGAAAAAAAAAATTGATATAGATATTTTACTTTAACATAACAAAAATGTGAAGGGATTGCACCCGTAACTCTTATACAATCGTTATAGTAATTAATATATTTAAAATCAGATATTTTACAAATGAAATTGGTCGCCCACACCATACTGATCTGTGTAAATTACAAATTATAATTTAGGTGTGAACGAAATTAACAAATTTAAAAATAAAAAATAGAAAAAAAGATTAACAGGTGTATATATCACAGAACTTAAAATTGGCCAATCAAATCCATTAAAGATGACAGACAGAACGTTAAACCCCTTATTAATTAAAGAATCACTTATATTAATATTGCTACATGCCTTAACGTTTTGAAAAATATTGAAAAATGAAAGCAATAAATCTTCATTGTTTGAACTGTTATTGAAAATTATTAGTTTAAAGACAGTCATGATTAGTTGTCACATGTTTTTAATTATTTTTATTAATTAACTGTATTATGATATACATTGTATTGATTATATTAAATATATATAGTGCGCGAACTGGAAAAAGGGATGAAATTAACAAAAAAAATAAATTCTACAAAAAAAAAGTCAAGCTTGTTGTAAATTGAAGCTTTAGGAAAAGTTGTTTCTATGTGAAAAAAAAACCATAGCAAATCTATCTTCTGTAGCTGGTGTATTTCCATGAATTAAAAGATCAGCTTTTAGCTTCACCTTTTTGTAATTCAACTATAGTTTTTATTTGTGTAAATACTAGACAGCCTTCATTCCATTCTCCTATTGGAACTACCACTGATAATCCATCATTATTTTTATCATAATGATAATCTAGAGTAACATTATAATTTAGAGCCATTGTAGCAAAGATTTTAAATATTTTTTTAACCTTATAAAATTAATATAAATATTAATAAATAAATATAAAAATATAAATATAAAAATAAATATAATATACTAACATGAGATGGATACTGTACTGCTAGTCTTTTGTTAAACCAATTTGGGTAATATTTTTGCACAATATTGGTTAAAATATCATTAGCAAAATGATTTGATTCCATTAAGCAGAGTATCTACACATCTAAAATAAATAATTATTTTTATATTATATTTTAAATTAGAAATGTTTTATAACATCATGGCAATAGTACCAATAAAAAAATTTATCAAGATACCTTTAATTAAAATTTTAAAAAATAATTTATATGAGTGTATAAATACATTTGCTATATAATCAGCAGAGTTATAAACCATTTTGTAATGGTTTATGCAAATAAGAACTGGTATGTGGATCAAAGTTTGTCCAAATTATTGATTGAAAAATGCCGAAGATGATTTTCTTAGCTAAGATCCCAAATGCTTTACTCACCTTATGGCAATAATTTGAGATAACGGCGATAATTTTAAATAACGGCGATAATTTAGTGATATCGGCAATAATTTGAGATAATGTATGAACAGGAAAAAATTCTACATATTTCGAAGAGAAGATTGAAAAGATGCTTAGTGTGGTGATGTGCATTCCCACCAACCATGATTTTAATGACTTTCCACGGTTGTTCACTCAACTGCGACAGACTGGCATTCTCATAATATCAATTTCACATGTTTATACTGACGGTCAGCCTGCCTTATGCAGGCAGGTCGGCGCTAAGTAGCAACTGCTATATACAGTAACTGCAAATATCAATATCACATGTTCATACTGAAACCACCGGCCAGCAATAAGCCGCATGCATAATTCGCAACCAATATAATCTGCATCCATCAAATAAAACTCAACTCCGGTATATCAGACCGAACCATTAAATTCTTTTCGGTATGTTGCACATACGTACGTATGTATCATTGGGGCTGCCGATATACTAATTAATCAAAATCATGTGGGATGCAATAATAAGTAATAGATTTTATGCATAAATCGATCGGCAAACTTTTACTAAAATACTAGTATCTAAGAATCGATTCACCTTGTATACAAGCAATTCTTTTGAAGGAATTTTTGTAGCAAACGATTCA